GAGTGCCTTGCCATCCTAGGCTATAAGGCTGTGTGTTTCTATTGGTGTGCACAGTGTAAGGAGACACATCTCTAATCCCTGCATGCAAGAGTGGTTCCATAGGATGCTGTGAGAGAAAGGAGCTACCCTGAGACAGGAAACCTGGGACAGCAATCATGGCACCAGCTTAAACAGGAACATAGGCAAAGAATAAAAAATCATGAAGCTCTATACTCAATGTAACCCATTGAACTTTTACTTGCAGTATACTAAAGTGGACATTAGATGGCGGTGGCCTGACATTCAGGGTTACTCACAGTGATAGAACAGGCCCTCTGGAACTTGTAGTTCTGAACAGCAGGACTTAGCTGATAAGCAGAGTGTCTGGAACTACATTTCCCAGGAGAGGTAGCGTGTGGGTGCATATAAATATCAAAGTCTGGGAGATTGGCCAGGAGAGTGCGGAGGGAGATTGAAGGAGAAGGATGCGTGCTGATGGCTGAAGTGATGAACTAGGCTGCGGAGACAGGACTGGAGAGAGAGGAAAGAACTCACTGACCACTGCCAAGCAGGCCACTCTGACAGCAGGAGACGACAGAGCAGAATGGCAAGTCTGAACCAGAGGGCCCGTGGACTGTCCCTATCCACTGGGAAAGACAGATCGCAGCAATCCACCAAACCACATTGATTGGGCAAGAGAGACCCACGCATCCACTAACAAAGTGGACGTTGATAGTTCGTCACCTCAGTTTTCTGCTTGCACATAGTTGTGAACATTCCATACAGCGCCCCAGTTTGCGGCCTAGTTATACCAGCGCCATTGTTGGAACACGTCTGCAGTACAGTTAGCTGACCACAGGACAAACAGTTACAGTCCAATATACAGTGCCAGCTGAATCAACCAGTCCATGTCCCTCTCTGCAGAGCAGGATTCCTACTACTGTTCACCTTTTGCCTTTGACATCCAGAGGGAGTTGTCTTCCTCCATAGACATTTATGCCAATTGTTTCTATTTACTACTTCAAGCTCAATTCATGGTTAGAGCTCGTAAAGGGAACCTTACACTGTGAACTGTTTGCACTGTACAAGCATGAGGCCCAACAAAGAACATCATCACCCTGACTATCATAGTACCAGTAGACTGTCAATCTTTTCCTGAAAACGTTGTATGTGAAGTGAAGAATCCGTGTGATATGGTTAGTTTAGCTGGGAGCCGTGCTCAGAGGAGTCTGCAGTGGTGCATAGCCTGCATTCATATAAGTAAACATTACACTAAGCAATGTGCAGAAAGTGCCCGGGGTTTGCATTGTTCTGGCTGTCATCCACAGTAAGTCTACAGTTGCAAGAAAAAGTATGTGAACCCCTTGGGATTACGTGGAGTTTTGCTTGAATTGGGCATAAAATGTGCTGTGAATGTCATCTAAGTCACAACAATAGAAGAACACAGTCTGCTGAACATAATACTACACAAACATTAGATGTTGCCATGGTTTAATTGCACATAACATGTAAACATTCACAGTGCAGGGAGGAAAAAGTATGTGAGGCCCTAGCTTAATGACTTCTCCCAGAGCTAATTGGAGCCAGGAGTGAGCCAACCTTGACTCCAATCAGTGTGATGATATTGGATGTGTTGCTGACAGCTGTCCTGCCCTTAATAAACACACACCTGTTTTGGGTTTACTGGTTTCAAGAAGCACTGTCTGATGTGAACCATGCCTCGCAGAAAAGAGCTCTCAGAAGACCTACGATCAAGAATTGTTGACTTGCATGAAGCTGGAAAGGGTTACAAAAGTATCTCCAAAAGCCTTGATGTTCATGTGTCCATTGTTCACATACTTTTTCTTGCAACTGTAGGTTCACACCTAAGCGTTTTCCGCAGCGTTTTGTGTTTTGCAGAAATGAACAGCAGTCCATTTAACATGATTTCCTATGGAACACATTCACATCTCCGTGTTTTCACCCAGTGCCTTTTTTGGAAAGGGTCAGGGATTTTTTTGAACGCAAAAATGTGCGTTTCTGGTTCTATAGACTTCAATGGAGACACTGCAGAAAAGCATGCAGTGAGTTTTGCTGCGTTATTGCTGTGTTTTAATCTGCCTTGCAACAAGAAAAAAAAAACGAAAAAAATGCAAAACGCATGTGCAAAAACGCAAAACACACTGCACTGCAGAAACGGATCAAACATAAACTGCATAGGTGTGAACCTAGCCTAAGGCAAGGCATACACATTCTGCAGGTTGAACATTGCAGACCGTTTTTTTTTTTCAATAATGAGCAGAGGAGAAAATCATTAAAGCTGCTTTACTGAACGATTCAAGAATGCTCAGACAACACATTGTAGGCATATTAACTTCAATTATCCAATTATGTGAAAAAATTTCCTGCCCACTTATTTCCTCTGCACACGATAGGCTAATTGAAGGGAATATCCACACAAATTATTGCGTGAACATTCTTTAATTCTTTCATAAATCAGCTCTATTGTGTCTAAGAGGGAAATGAGGAGGTGGAGGTATGGGAGTCTATTAATGCTACCTGCAGCTGAGATCATCTGTCAAAAACACCTTTAAGATTTACAGCAGGGGGACATGTCTGCACCTGAACAGCCCAGACACCGGCAGCACCGACTAGGTGTGTTCATGGAAGCAGATGTCTTCAAGGGAAAGTATCATTTTTGTCTATACACAGTGATGGCCAAAAATATTGGCACCCCTGCATTTCTGTCAGATAATGCACCACTTTGCCCAGAAAATTGTTGCAATTACAAATGTTTAGGCATTCTCATGTTTATTTCTTTTGTTTGTATTGGTATGACACAAAAAACAGAGAAACAAAAAGCCAAATCTGACACATTCCACCCCCAAAATGGACTGGACAAGTTATTGGCACCTTCTCAAAACTGTAAGAAATAATTGCATTCCAAGTTTGTGATGCTCCTGTAATTTGTAATTAAAAACTCACCTCTATCAATTAGCAGGTGCTGACAATATAGAAATCACTCCGGCAACCAGGTAAAATGGTGAAAAATTTACTCAACCTCTATCTCCTAGATTGTAAGCTCCAAGGAGCAGGGCCCTCCTATCCCTCTTTTATTGACTGCATTGTTGCTGTACTGTCTCCCGTTAATATTGTAAAGTGCTGAGCAAACTGTTGGCGCTATATAAATCCTGTATAATAATAATAAATAATAATGTGTGCAACATGGAACTTGGACAAGAGAAAGCAGCAAAGAATTGTCTGAGGATTTTAGAACATAAATTGTGGGAAAGCATGGACAATCTCAAGGTTACAAATATACCTCCAAAGATCTTAATGTTCCTGTGTCCACTGTGCACAGCATTGTCAAGACGTTTACAGTCCATGGCACTAGAGCTAATCTCCCTGGACGTGGATGAAAGAGAAAAAAAAAGTTTGCAATGAAGGATTGTTGGAATGGTGGCTAAAGAACCTCAATCAACTTGCAGACAAAATCAAACTGACCTTCAGGCACAGGGTACAACTGTGTCAGCTCGCACTATACGCCGCCATATGAATGAAAAGGAACACTATGGTAGGAGACCCAGGAGGACCCCAATGCTGACACAGAAACATAAAAAAGCCAGATTGGAGTTTGACAAAACTTACCTGAGGAAACCAAAATCCTGTTGGGAGAATGTGCTGTGGACAGATGAAACAAAATGACAGCTTTTCGGTAAAGCCCATCATTCTACTATTTTCAGAAAAAGAAATGTGGCCTTTAAAGAAAAGAATCCAGTCCCTACAGTCAAACATGGTGGAGGTTCACTGATGTTTTGGGGTTGCTTTGCTGCTTCAGGCACTGGATGTCTTGACCGAGTGCATGGTATGAAATCTGAAGACTGACAAAGAATTCTGGGGTGCAATGTAAGGCCCAGTGTCAGAAGGTTGGGTCTCCTTCAGAGGTCAGGGGTCTTACAGCAGGACAACGACCCAAAGCACATGTCAAAAACACCCAAAAATGGTTTCAGACAAAGTGCTGGAGAGTACTGAACTGGACAGCAATGAGTCCAAATCTCAGTCCCATAGAGCTCCTGTGGAGAGATCTCAAAACAGCAGTTGGGAATAGGAACCCTTTCAATCTGAGGGACCTGGAGCAGTTGGCCAAAGAAGATTGGTCCAAAATTCCATGAGAGGTGCAAGAAACTCATTGATGGTTACAAGAAGCGACTGATTTCAGTTATTTTTTCTAAGGGGTGTGCTGCCAAATATTAAATTGAGGGTGTCAATTATTTTGTCAGTCCATTTTTGGGGTTTGCGTGGAATGTGTCAGATTTGGCTTTTTGTTTCTCCACTTTTTGTGTCATACCAATATAAAAAAAGCAATAAACATGAGAATGCCTAAACATTTGTAATTGCAACAGTTTTCTGGGCAAAGTGGTGCATTATCTAACAGAAATGCAGGGTTGTCCATATTTTTGGCCATGTCTGTATATACAGTATATTTATTAAATTTAAAAGAGATATGACACCTTAAAATGTATCTAAACTGTATCTATACTCAAACCTTTTTTATGGTGGTTGGATAGAGTAGGGAAGGATTAGAAACTCCTGTCAATTTGTTATTTGCTGTCGAATGCTACCGTTGCAATACTCCTTCACTTCCTTTCTGGTATAAAAATATTGTCCACCAGCCGTTTGAGGGCAACCATAAAGTTGATGCAGCCCGCAATAAAATTGAGTTTGACCCTGTTCTAGGGTGCCTGCTTTCAGATAAGGATGATGTTTCAAGGGTTTTATGCAATCTTCAGGCCTAAAATAATTTTTTTAACAGGTGTGCAAAAAAATGCAAAAATCGCAGAGAAAGAGTTAAGAGAAAAGAGAATACCGATCCGATCTCAACACTCTCCCAGTTGTCATGCAACTCTTAGGTAAAATATTTTAGCATGTACAGTACATATAAAAGCCAAATACTGGCATAGTACCCAAACATAATCGCATATCAGTGCCCATCTGAGCTGCCTTTCAGTGCCACCTATCAATGCCAGTCAGTGCCTCCTATCAGTAATGCCAATCAGTGCCACCTATTAGTGCAAGTCAGTGCCGCCTATCAGTGCCAGTCAGTGCCACCTATCAGTGTGCATCAGTGCCCATCAGTGCTGCCTATCAGTGCAGCCTAACAGTGCCAGTCAGTGCCACCTATCAGTGCCAGTCAGTGCCGCCTATCAGTACCATATATGAGTGCTGCCTTTTAGTGCCCATCAGTGATGCCTGTCAATGCCCATCAGTGCCACCTACCAATGCCTCCTCATCAGGACCCCTTCAGTGCCACCTATCAGTGTCCATCAGTGCAGCCTATCAGTGCCCATCACTGCAGCCTCATTAGCGCACATCAGTGAAGGAGAAAAATCACTTGTTTACAAAAAATTTTATAAGAAACTAAGAAAAAACATTTTTTTTTTTAATTTTCAGTTGTTTTTGGTTTGTTTAGCAAAAAATAAAAAACCCAGAGGTGATTAAATACCACCAAAAGAAAGCTCTATCTGTCTCAAAAAAATGATAAAAATTAATATGAGTACAGTGTTGCATGACCACGCAATTGTCATTCAAAGTGCAACAACACTGAAAGCTGAAAATTGGCCTGGGCAGGAAGAGGGTATAAGTGCCCTGTAGGCAAGTGGTTACCCTAAAATCGGTTCTGATATCGCTGTTTTACTAACCTGACAGCTAATTGTGCCAAAAAGGAAAACTTCATTTGGTTTGCAAATATTAAAGATTCTAACAGCAAGAATGAGTCGTATTCCTTACATTTAAAGAGCACCTGTCATTTTAGCTCCATCATGGCAGCGCCTGTTAGCAGGCATCCACTCACCTGCTGCCGCCACGTCCCTTGTTGTGTCACTGCCGCATCACCAGTTGTCCCATTAAAGTGAATGGGACTGTCGGTGAGTCAACAGCTGGTCAGAGGAGGAGCCGCTGCGGGACAGAGATGACAGTTGCTCTTTAAAAATTATGATATGATTTAAATTGAGCCTTTTCACTAGGGATTTAAATTGTGATTTAAATCAACTTGATTTAAATCAAATCCACCCCGGTGGACAGGATGTTTGATTCTCTCTTCTCTGATCCTCCTCTTTTCCAGTGTCTCTCAAATATCTCTTGATAGAACACAAGCTAGGGGCAAGCTGAACATGCTCAGTTTGATGTGTATTGCTAGAGTTTTTCTTTCCTTGGGCGAGTGCATGTGATCAGCAGGGCCAATCAGCACTGTCCAGACAGAGGTCAGAGGTCCAGCATCCTGCTACAGGAGAATGAAAACACCTACAAGCTTTAACATGTGCTTTGCTGGACACTGATAGAAGTCACAAGACTGCTCTAACTGCTGATGAGAAAAAGTATTTAGCAGTTTATATTTACTAAAATAATTGTATTTCTATGTTGTGTGTACTGTGGGAGACCAGATATAGTGAATACAGGGTCCGGGGAGACCAGATACAGTGAATGCAGGGTCCTGGGTTTAGTAACACTTTTTCTTTTTCATTTTGGATACAGTAAGGGAGGGTAATAACCCCTGTCAGATTTTTTTTCACAATACTGTATGTGTCCCATTGTGGAGATTTCCCTTAATTTCCTGTCACATAGCCAAACAGGAAGTGGGAGGAAATCCCTGCAAAGCAAGTTAATTCCTTGGGGACCCCATTGGAAGATTTCTCCTTTTACTGTTCTGGGGACAACCCAAAATTTGGGATTTTCTTTTACTTTCACTTTCAATGATAATGGTAAACAGGACAAATAAGGATGGTAAATTTCCTTAACGGGGGCACAGACAGCAATAAATACCCAACAGAGGTTTTTCTAATCCACCTCCACTCTATCCAAAAAAACAAAAAAAGTTTTGCTTTTAGTTATACTTAAAATCCACCCAATACCTTTATTTAGACCCTTCACATCCAAGTCAATGAGAATGCAAAAGCAGCCTGAAACAGATAGATGTAATTACTGTACAAGTAGTAGTAATATGAGTATTAGTAGCAATATCAGTACTATTGATAGTAAAAGTAGTAGTTGTGGTAGAAGTTTCCCGTTTCCTCTTGTAACAAATTGTATTGTAACTGTAATGTATACCTTCATTTTGTAAAACAGCGCTGCGCAAACTGTCTAATAATCCTGTCTAATAATAATAATAAAATTAAAAAAAAGTAGTAGTAATAATAATAATTAAAAAAATAAAGTAGTAGTAAAATAATAATAATAATAATAATAATAAAAAAAAAGTAGTAATAATATAATAGTAATAATAAAAAAGTAGTAATAATAATAATAATAGTATTGTACAAGAAGAAGAATTTGCAGCAATAGCAGTACTGCCAGTGGTGGTGGAAATAGTAGTAGCAGTAGAAGCTGTGAGTAATAGTAGTCATCTCAATAGTAGTAGTAGAAGTAGTATAAATAATAGTAGTAAGGTGTTAGCATTAGCAGTAACAAAAGTAAAAGAAAGTTGTAATGTAGTAGTGTTAGACTTATTAGTACTAGCAACAGAGTTATTTGTTGTGATAATATTAGAAGTTTCTTAGCATTAGTAGTGGAAGTAGTAGTACAAGAAACAGAAGGTAGTGTATACTGAAGTATTATTAGTGGTAATGGTAGTAGAAAAAGAAGCAGTAGTAGTAGAAGTATTATTAGCAATAGCAGTAGTTGTAGAAGCAGAAGTAGCAGTAGTTATAATAATAGCAATAGTAGTAGAAATTAGTGGTAACACTAGTAGAAGTAAGTAGTAGTTGAAGAAACAGCAGTAGTAGAATTGGCAGAAATATTATTAGTGGTAATAGTAGTAGTAGTGGTAGCAGTATAATTAGTGGTAACACTAGTAGAAGTAAGTAGTAGTAAAAGAAACAGCAGTAGTAGAATTGGCAGAAATATTATTAGTGGTAATAGTAGTAGTAGTAGTGGTAGTGGTAGTAGTATAATTAGTGGTAATAGTAGTAGCAGAAAGTAGTAGTTAAAGAAACAGCAGTAGTAGCATTTTGCAGATGTATTATAAATAAATAAAAGAAGCAGTAAATAAAAGAAGCAGTAGCAGTAAAAGTATTATTGTTAGTATAATTATTATTAGTAGTAACAGTGGCAGAAGTAGTAGTAGAAGAAACAGCAGTAGCAGAAGTTGTAGAAGTATTATTAGTGGTAATGGTAGTAGTAAGAAAAAGAAGCAGTAGTAGTAAAAGTACTATACGAAGCAATAGTAGTAGTAGAAGTAGCAATACTTATAATAAAAGCAGTAGTAGTAGAAGTATTAATAGTAGAAACAGTAATAGAAACAATAGTTGAAGAAATAATAATAGTAGCAATTGTAGAAGTAGTAGAAGTAAGTAGTAATTGAAGAAACAGCAGTAGTAGCAGTTGTGGAAGTATTATTAGTTGTAATGGTAGTAGTAAATAAAGCAGTAGTAGTGAAAGTACTATTAGAAGCAATAGAAGTAGTAGAAGAAGTAGCAGTTCTTATAATAGTAGCAGTAGAAGTATAATTAGTAGTAACAGTAGTAGAAGTAGTAGTTGAAGAAACAATAACATTAGCAATTGTAGAAGTATTATTAGTGGTAATGGTAGTAGTAAAAGAAGCAGTAGTAGTAAAAGTACTATTAGAAGCAATAGTATTAGTAGAAGTAGCAGTACTTATAATAATAGCAGTAGTAGTAGAAGTATAATTAGTAGTAACAGTAGTAGAAGTAGTAGTTGAAGGAACAATAATAGTAGCAATTGCAGAAGTATTGAAGTGTTATTACTGTTAATGGTAGTAGTAAAAGAAGCAGTAGAAGTAAAAGTACTATTAGAAGCAATAGTAGTAGTAGACGTAGAAGTATAATTAGTGGTAACAGTAGTAGAAGTAAGTTGTAAAAGAAGAAAGAGCAGTAGTAGCAGTTGTGGAAGTATTATTAGTGGTAATGGTAGTAGTAAATAAAGCAGTAGTAGTAAAAGTACTATTCGAAGCAATAGAAGTAGTAGAAGAAGTAGCAGTACTTATAATAATAGTATTAGTAATAGTAGTACTAGTAGTAGTAGAAGTAGTAGTACTTATAATAATAGCAGTAGTAGTAGAAGTATAATTAGTAGTGACAGTAGTAGAAATAATAGTTGAAGGAACAATAATAGTAGCAATTGTAGAAGTATTGAAGTGTTATTAGTGGTAATGGTAGTAGTAAAAGAAACAGTAGTAGTAAAAGTACTATTAGAAGCAATAGTAGTAGTAGATGTAGAAGTATAATTAGTGGTAACAGTAGTAGAAGTAAGTAGTAGTTGAAGAAACAGCAGTAGTAGCAGTTGTATAAGTATTATTAGTTGTAATGGTAGTAATAAATAAAGCAGTAGTATTAAAAAGTACTATTAGGAGCAATAGTAGTAGTAGTAGTAAAAGTAGCAGTACTTATAATAATAGCAGTTGTAGTAGAAGTATAATTAGTAGTAACAGTAATAGAAATAATAGTTGAAGAAACAATAATAGTAGAAGTATTCTTCTTCTTCTTATTATTATTATTATTATTATTATTAAAAGTAGTAGAGAAGAAGTAGCAGTTCTTATAATAATAGCAGTAGTAGTAGAAGTATAATTACTAGTAACAGTAGTAGAAGCAGTAGTTGAAGAAACAATAATAGTAGCAATTGTAGAAGTATTATTAGTGGTAATGGTAGTAGTAAAAGAAGCAGTAGTAGTAAAAGTACTATTAGAAGCAATAGTAGTAGCAGAAGAAGTAGCAGCACTTATAATAATAGCAGTAGTAATAGAAGTAATATTAATAGTTGTATTAGTAGTAGTATCTTCATGAAAGGGTTCATGGAATAGGCCATGCTCTTTCTTACGGATATTTGAGCAAACACAGCGGGCGCACATTGTATGTCCTGGTGATGTCCACACTGCTGATTGTATTCTATTCCGAATACCCCTGTGCCTGGCTGTGTAGCGTGACACCCAAAAATGGTTGTCATTCGGAGTTGTCTCCGTCCTGATCTTTAAAATGACACAACTCTTCAAGGGAGATGTTCATCCCTTGATCTCTCCGGTGATTAAATTGTTAGAGTAATTAGAGAACTGACTGGGTCTAAGGCTTGTGAAATTGTACTGAGTGACAGTTTGCTAAACACATAGAGATTAGAATATGACTATTCATAGTACAACGGCTTAATTATGTTCAGCATGTACTTACAGGTAACCACACCCAGGCAGATCCCCCCCCCCCACTTATCAGTGTATGATTGCAGAAGCAGAATATCTTTGTACTATGGGGGAATCACATTTAAATATTTTATAGCAGGTTAAAAACAACTTTCACTAGTAACCTTATAAACATACTGCACAGTGTCATTTTCCTAACATGTTTTAGGCACTGGGGGCTGGAAAGGGAGGTGTGGAAGAGTTGCAGATTCTGAATAGTGGTGTCGCT